TTGTAAATATTTAATGTAAAATGTGTGTGGCATGCCTGACAGAGTTGGCAGTCAGCATGAATGACTATTGCCACCATGATTTTTGAAGGTCACCACACTCCATTCTCTGTCCAAATCATCTTCTTCAAGCCCATTTAACTATAAATGTAACAGTGCTTCAGCCTCTACTCACTACCTCATAATAACCATGTTATTATGAATAATAACAGTACCTGTGAATAATAGTGCAGAGCTTGAATATAGCCTCATCCCATGTCCTGGGGTGGGACTGTCTAATTGCTATCACCCTCCTGTGTATTTTTGACTTGTAGTGCAAGAAACTGATGCTCAAAAAAGAGAAGGAACTTTCACAAAGTAAGGGCAGAACTGAAATTACAACTGAGGTCACTGATTTCTAATACACTTGCTCCTTTTATTTACCTTTTCTTTCCCCCACAGAGAAGAGAACTCTCTCTTTTCTGAACACAATGACAGACACACTAGTTGTTTCCTAAGATGTTTAGACCTTTTCATTTAGTCTGCCACTGTAAATGTACTTCATTTATTTATTCATTTGTTCGCTTGCTCAGCAAATGTTTACTGGGTGTGCATTAGGTGCTGGGGATCTTAAAATAGTTAATACAGCCTATGGTCTTCAAAGAACTCATTCTCTTATAGAAAAGATAGACACATATATAGGGAAGTGGAGGAAGTGGGAGCTAGGGGGCCCAGAATTCAAAATAGTGGGGTTGATGGGAGGTTTGGCAGTATCAGGTAAAGCTTTCCAAGGAGGTAGTTTGAACTGATTCATTATGTTGCTTTTTATATTAATCATCTAGAAATGTGCTTTAAATTCAAGCAACTTTTCTGTTTTAGATTCTAGTCAAAGCCCTAGGCCTAAATTGAGACATAGTCTCTTGCAGTCTGAGCCCTCAAGGATTTACAGTCCAGCCAGAAAGAAGGACGCTAATTAGTCAAATGCCATTTAAATTGTATGGGGATTATGCTGGAAGAATGTGAGAGCTTCTTTGGTGGTAAGGGTGGTTGGGTGGTTGGAAAACCATTGAGGAAGTGGTTAATTCTATAGGGGCAAAAGTTTTGGAAGTCCAGTTTACTTTAAATATGCGTTTGTCTATTCATTCCTGTCTTGCTGAACTTTTTTTTTTCCTCTTAAATACCTCTGAGGATGTCCCACAGACCATGCCAAATAAAAATAGCACATCTAAAGCTACATTGTATTTTACAACATTTTCCAGGGAAAGAAGCTATAATTGAAATCATAATATATCAAGATAGGATGATGTCTCCATAATTAACAACATCTTGGTAAGACTAAGGAGATGAACATATTACTAATCACATTCAAACTGTATATTACTTGACCACAATTACCCTCTGTGAAGTGGACAATAACTCAGCTTCAAGTCTAGCTCTCCAATTACATGACTCTCTTCTAGAAATCATTTCTCAGACTTTGCACCCCTCAGGTAACAGCAGTAGGTAACAGCAGGTTTAGTGAGAGGTCAGAAACTCAGAATATAGCAAGTATTCTACTAACTACATACTAACTGAACATTGTACATCTGTATTTTTATCATCGTTTTGCACTGCACTAGGGTGAGGGTTAAGTGAGGACCACAGTTGCACTGATGATTGCCCCTGGACATGACATTTGGCTTCCTCACCAGCTGAGCAGGGCAATGAAGCTCAAAGGGTAACAAAGCTATTGTTCTATGGGACACGTGTTGACAAGAGACTGCAATGAAATCCTCTCCTCCCCCTCCTGTGGTAGGAAGGACCAATCATTGCCTCTATCCATCTCAGATCTTAGGTAGACTCATCTGGGTATAGCAATCCAATGAACACAAGACAGATGAAGAAAAGATCCAAAGAGATGTAAAGAAACTACAGGACTGAATGACCTGGTCTAGAGGCACTGAATTCTAAGGTGGTGTCTAAGAAAACTGTGGTGGGAAGGTATAAAGCTAATGAAAGTAAAAGTTACTTTACTGAATTTGTTTATTAGGTTGTTGCTTTCTTTTTTAATTTTTTGGCTTGTTTTATTTTGTTTTGTTTTGCTGCATCATCCCCAGTCTGGTAACAAACTGTTTGTTTGTTTGGTCTGGGAACAGTGATGACACCTTCCCGAAAGGAATCTTTATAGCCTGCTACAAGTGTGAAAAGGAGGGTTGGTTAGCACTTTCTGCAATGACAGTTTATCCAATGGCGTCAGCCTGAAGTGGGGTGCACTGCTCTTAACTCCTTCACCACATTTGCTCACCTTTGACATTCACTGAACTGAGCCACTTCTGGCTTATGACACTGGTCCACTTGATGAGGTGACAACTTGCGATTTTCCTCCTTTCTTGGCTTTACTTTTATTTTCCTTCATTCTTGTTATCTTGGGATTGTACTCACTCAATAAATCATTAGCATCTAAGCTTTGTTTCCTGGAAAGTCTGATCCAAGATCGTAAATAAAGAGCAATCATAAAACCACATAGAAAGACCAACAACTTTATAAAACACTGAAAGAGGTGAGCAGTTTATGAAAAAAAAAACTGTGAATATAAATGGCTCTTAAAACTGGGAAAAAGATGTTCAATGACACTCATAATAAGAACTGAAGAGTAAGAGTAAAATTAGAGTAGTATGTACTTTTGGAGCACTTTTATAACATGCTGTGTCAACAGACACTCTTGTTGCTGGTGGAGATATGCACTGACATAGCGTCCATGGAAAGTGATTTAACAGTATGTTCATAACATGAACAGTCTTTAGCCTAGCAATTTGATGTTTATTGCTTATAAAAAGAATGAAAGTAGTCTATCATACATCAATTAGAGACCGAGGCTCAGTAAATGATGGCACAAGCATAAACAGACTATTATGTAGCCATTAAAAAAGTAATTTAAAAGTACTGACATATAAAAATCTAAAATTTATAGTAAGTAAAAATGTCTCTAGAAATATATGTAGGAAACTAGTAACAGTAGCTGCCTCTGGGCTGAGCAGACTTATTCTGCCTTGACTGTACATTTTCAGTTGTGTACTATGAAGCTGGATCACCTGTTTTTAAACTTCACTGAGGAATCATTACATACAGTTAAATCACAGCCATTTAAAGTGCACAGTGTAACAACTTTTAAAATTGTGTGTTCCTACAAAACTACCACCACCGCTGCCATCAAAGCATAATATGTATGTGATCCTTGGAAACTTCCTTGAGCCTTTATCCCAGTGAGTCTCAGCCCCCAGAAACCATTTTCATTTTACAATGAGTACTCTTTTATATCTTGCTTCTATATTTAGCGTGTGTGATGTTAAGATTTTATATATTAATCTCTGTTCTGTTCTTTGAATGTACCATGTTTTATTTACCCAGCCAACTGTTGAGGAATATTTTGGTTGTTTACAGATATGGACTATGTAAATAAAGCTGTTAGGACCATTTGTATACAAGTCTGAGTGGAAATACATTTAAAAAATTTTGGGGGGGGCTTAAATATTTAGGAGTGCAATTGCTATATTCTATGGTAAGTGTATGCTAATTTTGAAAAAAAAAATGTCAGTTTTCCAGAATGTTCATACCATTTTCCACCCGTAATATGAGAATTCCAACTGTTACACATCCTCATCAATTCTTGGATGTGATGGTTTTTAAAATGTTATGAGTATGCGGTAATGTATTAACTACTTTGAAAGACACATTTAAAAGTAAAAAGAGATAAATAAATGATCACTATAATCTCTCCCTTCAAGTTTGGAAATAATATTGTGAAAAGGTTGGGTATTGCAATTTGAATAGGGAACTGTGTTACTTTCTATTACTGAAACAAAATACCTGAGGTAATCAAATAAAAATGAAAAGGTTTACTTTGATTATCTGTTTTAGGAGTTCCAAAACATGGTTGGTTGTTTTGGGCCCTGTTTCAAAGCAGATCCTTATGGTCGGAGGATGTGGTCCAAGCTTCTCACCTCAGAGTGGGAGGAAAAATAACAAAGAAAGGAAGGGGTCAGTATTCTACAATCCTATTCAAGGGCATCTCCTCCCCCCCCCCATGACCTTAAAACTCCCACTAAGTCCTACATCTTAAAAATTTTCACTACCTTCTAGTAGCACCACAGAGTCCCAAACCTTTACTACATGGGTCTTTGGGAAGCATTCTAGATCCAAAGTGTAGTAGGAAGTCTTTTAAATTCCTGTTGCTATGAATCAAATTACAACAGATTTAGCAGCTTGAAATGCTATCTATTTATTATCTTACCTTATCTGTTGGTAAATCCAAGTACAGCTTTTTGCTGAGCACTTTGTTCTGTTTAGGGTTCTGCAAGGTGACAAGGTTTTGCTGGATTCTTCTTTTTTTAAAATCTTTTTGAGTCAGGATTTCATGTAACCCAGATTGGCCTTGAACTTTCAATGTAGCAGATTTGAATTAAAGAAGTATTGTGTGTGTGTGTGTGTGTGTGTGTGTGTGTGTGTGTGTGTTCATGTGAATGCAGGTGCCTGCGGAAGCCAGAAGAGGGCCTCAAATCCCCTAGAGGTCGAGTTATAGGTGGCTGTGAACTACCAACATGAATGGATGTTGGAAACCAGACTTGGGTCCTTTGGAAGAACAGGAAGTGCTCTTAGCTGTTGAGCCATCTCTTCAGCCACATGGCTGGAACTTTTGATCCTTCTGTTTCTACCTCCTGAGTTCTGGGAATGCAGACTTGTGCCACATGTCCCAAGTTGATGTGTCGCTGGTGACTGAGCCCAGAGCTCTTGGAATAGGCAAGTACTTTACCAACTGATTTACATTCCCAGCCCTACGCTACAGTCTTTATGACGCTCAGCATCTACTTCTTGTTCACATGGCTCTTCACACAATTTGGTTCTTGTGGTTTTAAGACTGAGGCCTTGCTTTCTCACAGCTGTCATCTAGGGCCCGTTGTTAATTTCTAAAGGTCACCTGCTTTCCCTGGATTGTGTCTCTTTCACAACTTACTTTCTCAAGGCCAGCAAGAAAATTTCCTTCATGCTTGCTTTGGCAGCACATATACTAAAATTGGAATGATGCAGAGAAGGTTAGCATGCCCCTGTGCAAGGATGACTCTCAAATTAGTGAAGTATTCTGTATTTAAAAAGAGAAAGAAAGGGTCCTTCTCTAGTTATTCAAGACAAAGTGTTACAGCAGGTGACATAATATCTCACTACATAACATGGAAAGTTAATCACATGCCTACCATTGCTATTTTCTGTTGTTAGACAAAAGCCATCAATTCTGCGTGTACTCAATGGAACAAAAAGATGGTATACCCAGGGTCATCCTTGAGTGTATCTGACAGATGAAGTCAACTATGTCAAACTTGCACAGTCAGGATTACCCGTGAGCCTATACTAATAGTTAAGGTTCCTGGGACTTGTTCTCATACTTTGGTTTTTCTTTTCTTGGCAGAGTCTTACCATGTTTCCCTGTCTTATTTAGGGTTACTGTTGTGGTGATGAAACACCATGACCAAAAGTAACTTGGGGAGAAAGGGTTTATTTTGCTTACACTTCCAGATAACAGTCTATCACTGAGGGAAGTCAGGGCAGAAAACTGGAGACAGGAGCTGTACAAAGGCTATGGGGGATGCTGCTTACTGGTTTGTTCCTCATGGTTTGTTCAGCTTTCTTTCTTATAGAGTCCAGGACCACCAGCCCAGGAATTGCACCACCCAAAGTGTACTGGGCCTTCCCTCATCAATCACTAGTTAAGAAGATGTGCTATAGGCTAGCCTACAGCCCAATCTCATGGAGGCATTTTCTCATTTGGGATTCCCTTCTCTCAGATGACTCTACCCTGTGTCAAATTGACATAAAATTAGCCAGCACACTTCATGACTGGTCTTGAACTTATGGCACTTCTTGCCTTCTGATCACAAGGCTGAAAGGTATGCATCACCACATTTGGTCAGAACTTCTGACTCAGTAATTCTGAGGTGGGTCTCAGGAATGTTCATCAGCGAATATTTTCTATTTCAGATGCATCTGAGGAAAAAGTCATCCCTTAGAATTGTTAAAAGGCAAGGTTAGCAAATCGAAATAAAGCCATTGGTAATATAAAAGTGGTTTGAACAGTTCTACCATTTACAAGATATAAAACATTGACAAGACACTTAACCTCCCTGATTCCCAAAGTATGCAGTGGAGTATGGCATCCACTACCTGGGTTCATTACTCCATATAAATGACATTTTGGGCAAGAAATATGCCTGCAATTCAAATATCTGTCAAATCCCATCTAACAATCTAGAGTCTAGACTCTAGACACTCAGAAAGAATTCTATAACATCAAATTATAAACACAAAGACTAGGCAGATAAAATAGTCAAGACTGGCCCAGAGGAGGTGAATATAAGGGGCAATTAAAGACTGGATCAGCATGCCACTTATATTACATGGGTCCCAGACCCCAGCTCTCACAGGTTGCATCCCCACCTGTCCCCTGTGGGCGTGGTCAGTGCAACAGGTGTGGGCAGGGTGGATATCTCAGCACACTAAGAAATAAACTTCCCTGAGAGAACACAATAAACCTAAAGACTGAGTTAGAAAATAAATATAGTTACCCATTGCCTACAAGAAAAATAATTAAAACACAACTTTTCTAACAGTAGAGATTAGTTTGAAAAGAGTATTCTGAATTCTCTAATGAAAATATCAAAGCATGGTATCAAATAAAAGAGATTTTACAGTCATGGGCATGAATCATGAAAACATACACTGGACAAAGAATGATGATCAGTTCTCAAGTTTTAGAAAGCAGCTGATAATAAAGGTGTGCCCTGGTCTGAGAAAAAGAAAAATAAAGCTACATCTGAATTCCTTGGCATTTCATTAACTAGCAAATTTTAAACAAACAACCATTTTAGTCATGTTTATGGTGTTACTGTCTTCCTCTCTGGAGCTTCACAGGTAGCTGCAGGAAGAACTGTACACTCTTTCTGAGGTACCACTGTCAACATCCACTAAGAGCTGAAAAAACCCTCTCCTCAAAAGCCCGGCAGAAAATTTCTCAGGGTTGTTCTTCTTGGCATAGTATTAGAAATGCTGGTAATAACTATTTGAGAAAGACATAAAAATATAAGGGTAAAAGGTAGTAATCCACTGGATATGATGATAGGACTAAATGTTCCAAGAAAAGCATCCTCTAAATGGCTATAAATAATGAATGAGTTCAGCAAAGACTCAAGCCAAAGGAAACCCACACAGAACCATTGTTTCTGCCAGTGAAAAATAGCTGCCTATTAATAAGAGCATAAAAAGAGAAATTCCATTCATAATCATGAACCAAAAATAAGTTACTTGAGGATTTTCCTTGAGACACAAGATTTACTCAAGAAAATAATCAAACTGTAACAGGAAAAGTAAAGGAGGATGTGCACAGGAGGGGAGATAACACCAGGTCATTACTGGAAAAACAACAGTGAATGTGAATGTGACAGTGTTTCAGAGTCACTAGATAGAAGGGAAAGCAGTTTAAGGCTTTATACAATGATTATAGACACTGAAAAATGGATACCAATGTTAGAGAACAGGAAAAATAGGACTCTACCATAGGATTTAAAATACATTAAAACTGACAAATAAACACACACCAAAATCATCAGTTTCTAAACAGGGGGAGGGGTCAGCTTAACCTTTCTACTTGGGATAGCTCTTTAAAACGATACTTTTGGGATTATAATGTAATTACAAAACTTCTCCCTTCTCCTCCATCCAAACCCTCCCATATACCCTTCCTGTTCTTCTTTAAATTCATGGCCTCTTTTTTCATCAACTACATGCATATATTTATATGTATATACACATATATTCCTAAATATAACTTGTTCAGTCTATGTAATGTTATTTGTGTGCATGTTTTGAAGGGCTGACCATTTAGTATTGGATGACCGATTGGTGTTCTTTTCCCTGGGAAAGACTATCTCTACTGCTTTCAGCTTTCCTCAGTTGCCTATAGTTCTTTGAGTAGGGTTGTGCCCTCATGGATTTTTCCCCATCCAAATTGGTATGTTGATTTGCATCATCCTTGTTCAGTTCATGTTGGCAGACATGTTGGTGAGACTTTATGGATGTAGCTTCCAATATTACTAGGAGACACAATGTCACATATAACACCCTGATCCTCTGGCTCTTACAGTCTTTTTGCCACCTCTTCTACAGTATTCCCTGAGCCTTAGGTGTGGCATTATTTGTAAATGTATTTAGGATAGCCTTTTAAGTTTAATAGAATCAACACCAAATTCTATTCTTCCTACAGACAGCTCTATCCCAGTACAGCCACTACTGCTATGGTTTGCTTCCCCCTAATAAGGTCCTTTGTGTTGGCCACTTTGCATGCCCTTAGTGCAGTGGTATTGAGTTGAGAGATCTTGAAATGGTAGGGCCTTCATCGTTGTATGTCATCCTTGGGAAGGGGTAAAGGTCATTTCTCTGTGATCACTTGCTAATTTGCAAAGAAGACATTCTTATGAAAGCCTGGGTCTTGCTTGAAGTGGCTCTCTGGCTTCCTGCTTGCCAGAGTGATCATTTGGACACACAGGTTCCCACCCTCACCATCTTCATGATACGCTACAGCTGAAGGGCCCTCACTGGAACTTGGAGGATGGAGGTGATTATGCCCTTGAACCTCCAAAGCAGTGAGTTAAATAAACTTTTTAGAAAGTTAAGTTGAGGTATTTCATTACACTGACATAAAGCTGGCTGATACAACCATATTTCCAATAAATGACCTGGCCAAAATTTATGGAGCCATCCTTGGTCTTCTTCCTTTGACTTTCTGCTAGATTGAGGTAGATTGAGGATCTACCACTTTCCACTACTCTGTCCTAAGCCATCATAGTCTCTTGCCCACATTAGTCAGGGTCCTCTAGCAGATCTTCCTGTCTCTATCATTGGTTTCCTATGGCTTTTTGCCTCACCATAGCCAGAGGACTCTGGAAAGCTCTTATGTCTGATACTGCTTTTCTTTTTTGCAAGGCCATCTAAAAGCTCCCACCTGCCTCTGGTAAGTACTTCCCTTTCCTGTTGGATGGCCTCTTCTCATTCATCCCATATTCACTCCATGGTGGCCTCCAATGTGTTAGCTGTCTTACTGGTTTTGGAAATTCACACTCCTGGGCACTTGTTTTCTCTATTGGGAGTCCTCGTTCTCCCAGATGTTTGTATGATCCCTGTCTCCCTCCTTCAGGTCCTGTGCAGATGTTACCTCAGTGAAATCCTTCTTAGCTTCCACAGGAGAGTTCTACTGTTCACTTCTTTGCTAGCTCTGATCACTCTTTCCTATTCTACTTGCTGTTTACTTACCTGCCTATCACCTATTTTTAGACTTGTCTTTCTCCTACTAGCATGGTATTATTTTTATGAGGCTGTATATTTTGTTACAGCTTATATTTAGTGCCTAGAATAGTGCCTGACACCTTAAGGGATTTGATATATATATATATATATATATATATATATATATATACACACACACACACACACACACACACACACACACACACACACTAGTGGTTGAATGAAATAGACAAAAACCTCTTCTAGTATAGCTGTTTTACTTTCTAAACTGACTTTATAACTAAGCAGAAGCAACAGATATTGTGGGAAGATTTCCAGCTTGTTAATTGTTTTATGAACAATATTATAACAGGAAGGTAATTTATACCTTAGAGCTGTGGTTCTCAACCTCCCTAATGCTATGACCCTTTAATATAGTTTCTAGTGCTATGGTGACCTCAACCATAAAATTATTCCATTACTCCTTTATTACTATAATTTTGCTACTGTTATAAACCATAATGTAAATATCAGATGTGTGATCTTCAAAGGGGATGTGACCCACAAGTTGAGAAATGCTGCCTTGGAGCAATACATCATATCATGTTTAGTAATACAGTTCAGAAGGTAGTCAGAGTAAAACATATGTAGGTATAGTTTTTTTAAGCCAGAATTTTTAAAAATTAAAAAATACAACGGGAACATCTTATGTTTGAAGAGTTCACAATATTTTTAAATGAACAATGTTAAAGATGAATATGGCATGTATGTATGAAATTTTCAAAGAACTGTATAAAATATATTAAAAAACAAGTATAAT